TACAGACTGGATATTACTATCCTTACCATTAAAAAATTCTGCTAATCTTCCTTAGGAAGATTGGGAAGATTAAGAAGCTAGTATCACAGCAATTCTGTAACAACTTAGACAGGTCTTCTCTGCTGGGAGTGACATGGTTGTAGCTGATATTTCCTCAGATCTAAAGCATATGCAGATTGCCTAAATCCCTTCCAGATTCTTGTATTTAATGATTCTTTGAGTCTCATAAATAGGGAGTTGTTGGTTATTTCTACTAAAACAAGGTAAGTGGAGAGGACAGAGTGTCTCACCACTCTTCATTTGTTTGGGATCAGAGGTGAGAGTAGAAAATTTTTTTTTCCCTAAATCTTCTATATTCATCTTGGTGGTTTTTTGTTTTTATGTTTGTTTATTTGTTTTCAGGTTATGCTCACATGTCTCATGCATGAGTTCCCTATATGCCTGCTTATTCCTGCCGCAGGCTCCTACTAGCTATTCAGCCATCAGGATGCTCCCTGTAGCTGGAATTTGGAAGAGCACGTGCTTGCGTTTGGGAAACTCTAGCCCTCTGAGAGGGGTAAGCTGGAACCCAAACTTCCACTCTCAACAGGATAATGCTCTGGAGTAAAAACTCCCTCTGGGAGTATATAAAGCCTTAGCAAGTCAGGGCCTGATATCCTGCTGGCTGCTAGAGGTGCGTGATTCCTTTTGAATCATATACAATGGATGTTGTAGCTGGCCACACACTGGTGGTTGTGCCTGGCTTAATGTAATTTGGATTGCGTTTTGACCAAATGTTTTGCAAGAACAGACGGACAGTTTAGGAATATAAAATAATTAAAAATAATTCTACTCTTTCAATGTAAGTTGCATTCTGTGGGGAAAAAAGAACTATAATTTCAGAATAGCTTTCCCCTTTTGCAGGGACACTTCCTTTTGCTTACATCATGCCTTGCATGTGTAGTGTCTGACCAGCACTTTGATGTTTATTTCCCTCTTGTGTAGTTCTGACATCTTTGGAAGAAACTCCGTGAGTGCTAACATCATAGAACTAAATATGTCAAATATAACTTCAGTTTAATAATATACATGCTTTTTGTTAGTGGGTTTGAAAGCTGTAAGGTGCGTGCGTTTATGTGGCATCCCTGACTTAGAAATTCACTACGTCTTCTAAAACTGCTGATTTTCGTGTCTGCCTGTGAAGAAAACAAAACAAAAAGATTGGGCAGGAGAGGAAGGGGGAATTCCAGTAGAATTTCCCTCCTCTCAGTAGCTTAATAAAAGTGTTTTCTATAACTGATTTTCTAAATTCAGGTGTAGTACTTTCAGTTAAATGGAATGCTGCCTCATTACTGTGTAATATCGTACAGTAGCTTGCATGGAAACCAGAGTTATCTAACCCCATGGGTACAAAAATAAAAACATGGTTTTTGTCCCTTTTTCCTTCTCTTCCTGTGCATAAATCTGGAAGAATAAGTGAAAACTGTCTTTTAAAAAACAGAAGGCCTGTTTTTGTGCTAGTCGCTAGTTAAATGCGTTTTCCTGTTCACTTAAAAGTGCTTGGGAAAGTGTTGAAATGGTTTACCCTTTGACCATAAGGCACAGCTTCACTTCTCCTTTGTCTTGACTTGTTGAAAAAACTGGCTGCTAACAACCTGGCAAACTTCCTGGAAAAACTTCACAGCGACAGTGCCTGAACCTTACAGGCGCTCATATGGTTGTAGCGTCAGAGTTTGGGCAGTATCAATTCCTGTTTGACATCTCGTACATCATATAATTGGCTGCAGTCCCTTGTAGCTTCAGTTTGAGCTCTTCTTGCTTTTTAAGTATTTGTCTAAGATTTGGGGGGAAAAGATCTACAAAGTTCTGGGGAAACTTGAGGATATTTTTAAGGTGTGTTTCATCAGTCCATCTAAGCAGGAGTCCAGAAGCTTGACTAGCCTCGGTCTACTTGCTAATATGTGGTTTCTCTGCCCTGTGGTTCAGGGAACTGCTTCAGCCTCTTCAGGGCTTCTGCTGTCTGCCTTATTTTCTTTAATTGCTATATGTTGTCTAGTTATTTTACAGGTTTGAAGTCATCAGTTGCTTCTGAATCCTTTTTTTTTTCTATGTGCAGATTCATGAGCAGAGTTTGTGTAGAAGTCTGGCCATCTGCAAGATGGCAAATCTCTTTATTCATGCTGTTCAGTCTAGTGCATGAAGAGCTTTTCTTGAGCATCTAGGAGTAGAGTATATCAGACATCAAGGGTTTCAAAGGACTCTTTGAGGGAGTCTGTCAAGGGGAGAATCTTCCCAAAATAAAGTTTTCAGTTTTTACGTGTTTTGCCGAAGTGCAGAGCGGGAGTTTGTGTTTGAGACAACAGATTGTCCACAGACTGAAGTGCTTTTCTAAGTTTCACGTTGGGCTTTTAAAGGAAATCTGTCATGATTAGGCTCAGTCACCTTGAAAGTCTTAAATATATGCACACTTAATAGCCGATGGGATTCTAAACCACGTCTTGAAGCTTCTTCTGGAAACACTTATTTCAGTACCTCTGGCGATAGTGCTTGGTCTAGTGAGAAAATGGGATTTAAGGATTTCTCACTGATCTATTTAAAATGAGCTGAGTTTCATATTGCTGTTCTAGAGTTTCAGGAAATCCTGAAAGCCAATTTAGTAATGCTTTAATTACTCTAAGATATTATATTTTAGAAGATTTCATGGATTAAGTCTTAGAAAAGCTCCAAAACAATGAAGTTTAAATAATAGAATAAAGCTGTTAGCTTTTCTGTCTTTCTTCAGACTGTTTTAAATGAATAAATAAACTCAACATTGACGATTATTCCGATGTTTCAAGGAGTGAGTGTACAACATATATAAACTTGTTACGAAAGAGATGCCAGAGATCATGCAAGCTTGAAACCTATTAATTCTTAACTGAGCTTTAATACGTATCTTGTGTTCTGTTCTGTCTGCTCCAGCCTGGCTTTCAGGGAGTCTATAGCCACATTCTAGCTTGGAAAGCAAGTTTTTTTTTCTCCTGTTGATGTGCACAGCCCTCTGGGGAATGGCAAGCTTGGGAGAACAGTGAGGGATGGTGGTAGACGCATCCACAGATTTTGTTTGCAGAATTCCTAACTGCTGATATCGGAAGCGTCACTAGGTGAAGATGTGTGAATTTACATTGTCTCTATGCGCTATGGTAAGCGGATTTGAAAAGCCGAGGTTCCTCAGGCGTGGTAGCGTAAAAGTGCTTTGAAATGGAATACTTAAGTCAGTATTGGCAGAACATATATGGATATATGGATGTCTCTCTTCCCCTGCCTTCCGTGCCACAAATTGTTGTGTATTACTTAGTGTTAGCAATGCAGAGCTGATCTGTTGGGCATGAGCATATGATCTCACCTCTGTCAAATTAGCTCTTCATTTCTGCCAATTTCGGTGCTAGCCATCGTAGGACAAGTGATATCTCATATAGTATGAAGGCTACCAGTAAAGAGAATTCTTTTAATGGATTTAAATTGGCAGAGTGAGGTTTACATAAGATCAGAGCTTTGCATAATGTGGCCAGGGCATCTTCAGAGGCTTGTAATACCAGATTTAAAAACAAGCAAGGACCTGATCCTGTATCCTTGCACCACAGCATGATTAGTGCTATGGGGTCGTCTTCTTCCAGACAGAAATAATTATCCAAAATTTTGTTTTTTAATAGAAACAGTGTGAAAAGTATACTTCAAAGGATAGCAGATTTACAAAGGAGACTATGAGGAGGAAGAGAGGGATTCTTCTCCTGTCTTTGTTGCACTAGGCCACTTCCTCTGAAAGTGTGCACAACTTTCAAACTGATAAGTGGATGATTTTTCCCTTGGGAGGCCATTTTTTGCCTTTAAACAAGCTTTTACTCCTTATTTTTAAAAAAAAATCTTATGATTTCGTCCGGTTTTCTATTCAAATCAGTTTGGCAGTCCTTAGTCCTACAGTGCGTGGATTTGGTTTGGGGTTGTTTGTCTTTTTTTCCCCATATAGAAAATGAACATATGGCTGACTTATTTCCTAAGTGAGGTTTTATATCCGAAGTTGTGAGTTTTTCTTTTTTTCTAAATAAACGTCTAGAAGCTATTTGACTGAAAAGATACTCATCTTCTGTAGAGCTCTTCAGAGTTGGAATATGCTTGTCAAACAAATGTACCTATTTCTTATTACTTTTATTGTGTTTTTTGTATTGCTATGTCAATGAAGTTTGCAGGCTCTGTTCGCTAAGAGCTGAAGATGCAATTTGTAGGCTTTTTAATAATAACTGGGCTAGATGACTTCTCATTTTTTAGGTCAAGTCTTTGGCAAAAGCTGATTAGTAAAAGCTTCATTAATTCCACCTCAATAAAACCGTACATAAGCTTGTCAAAATGAATGATAACCTCACTTCTGTTGTAACTGTGCATGCAGCAGATAATAAAAATGATGTGCAGGTTCAAAAGTTGCTTTGGGCACCAAAATAGAAATGGGATGAAATCAATTCAGCTTACCCCTGCTGTTGTGTTTCAATAGATTATCGTGGAAAATACTTTGCTTGTTCATTAATGTTATTTGCACAGAGGAGGGTTAGCATTTAGTTTTGTAGGTAAAGGATAATGACTGTAATCCCTTTATAATTACCCCATTAGTGATTTGTATTCACCATTTGATTGTGGAGTCGGTAAACATTTACATGAATTGTTTTAGGTGCATTTACATCATTGTTCCATTTCCTAAATAGTGGCCTTATGAAGGCCTTGGAAACCGTATGAAATAGTTGCACAGCATAGTCTTGAGATAACTTTAAAAACAAAAAAAACCCCCAAAAAACAGAAACAAAAAAACCCCAGAACAAAACCTTGTATTATTTGCCTTTTATAGTGCTTACCAACTGGCTGGCTGGTTAAGCCCATGCAAACATGTTAACAATGAAACAGTCAGGTGGAGGGTTTGTTACAGGGAGAGATCACCTAACACCTTTTTTTCCCTGCTTTCTTTTTTAATAATAATATATCCCTTTCCTCTTAAGGCATCGATGGCTTCATTGTATGACAGAAGACCCTCCAACTACTCATCCACCAGTTGCTCGTAAATTTATTTGGGAGAACCATAAATTCAATCTGAGTGGCACACCTGGACAGTATGTACCTTACTCTACTACTCGCAAGAAGATACAAGAGTGGATCCCACCTACAACACCTAGCAAATAACAGCAAAAAATATAACTTGCCTAAAACTTGGCTTTCAATGTCAACTGTATTTTCACTGTTTTTGATCAAAATAAAAGCATCCTAAAACAGTAATAGTTTAGTTTATTGAGCTGGGGGGAGCCAAGTGAGAAAATAGTGGTGAGAGGTAGACAGAATATGTGGTAAGTGTTAACTTCATCAAGATATTAGGCCTTTTGTCATATCATCAGTGGCTCTTGTCTTAACATAAACAGCTCTTAAACTTTTTTCTAGTGTTAATAATCATTCCTGTGACAGTCATTTCTCACATTCATAGCATTCAAAAAAGAATAAATATAAATTGGAAAGACATAATTCTAATCTTTAACCTTATCCTCTTATGTTCTCTGCATGGTAAGTGATGTACCGTTCCCAAACTATTTTAGGAAGCCATCTCTTATAAATATTTATAAGAGAAGTTAGAATAATAAGGCCAATCAAGGATTATAGTTTTTATTCATAAATTCTTTGTGCCTGAGTGTGTATCATTGCTTTTCTATAAGGCTATAATAACCAAATGATATCTTTCACCCCAACCCCCTTCCAAGAGAGTTGAGCCATATGCAGGCACCAAAGTTGTTCCCTGTCTCTATGCACCAGCACAGACCCTTCGTTATCCTGGTTTTGGATTAAGCCTCTACATTTTGAGAGTGGAGAACTTGCTTAAAATTGCCTGTAAAAATTGCCTTAAAAGACCTGTGGGGGTGTTTGATTTGTTGCAATAGTATGAGTTGGTGCCTCCTGTGGTAGAGTTGCTGTTTGAACAGCCAGCAAAACCTTCTTGAATCAGGTGACAAGACTCACCCTTGTCACAAAAAATTTTTTTTTGTAGCTCCTATGTCACGGAGTTTCACTGGAAGGATGTTCTTGTGAGGTTTAGGGATCGGCTGCTTGCCTTGCTGTGACATGACTTTAAGGAAGGCCTATGAAAGTTTGACAATACGTATGTTTTGGGGAGGTAGAGAAGCAAGATAGACCAGAACCTAGTCTCAAAAATGTGAAATTTTCAAGTTATCAGAACAGAGTTTTGGGACTGTTGTTCTTCTGTATCTTGCATTTGTTTGACTCTTATTCCAGACTGCTAATATTGTTAGCACAGGTGCTGTCTCCACAAAATGGCCTGTATCTGATAACCTAGTCCGTAGATAACTAACTAACTTACAAAAATAATTCTTAAAGAAGACTTAAGAAGGGTTTTGAATATATTATATACTTGCATTTGCCTGTTCAGGGAAAAAATACTTCACTCTCTAAGAACAACCCCACGTGCTACACTGCTAGATCCATGCTGAACTCTCTTGCTTCCCTTCCCCATCTGACTTTGCCTTGCTTAGGACTCAGTTACTTCTTTATTAAATCAAATACTTTTCTTGACAATTCATTATTTAAAGGGGTTTTTCTTTAAGTTAACCTGCTTTAAACTGGTTTTAGTGTGTTAGTAGAAAGTAGCACTTAGAGATCTGTTAACATACCTAATTAAAAAGGATAACACTTGAATTACATCAAATAAGCAAAAGCACAAAGCAGAGCTGAAAAGCGATTTGGAGCCATACTGTGTAACATGCGTAGAAAGGACATTTTAAATATTTTTGTGTTTATAGATTATTTGACTTTAAGAACCAAACGTCTTCCAGAGTTGTTCAAGAGCTTGATGACTAGCACTCAGCTATACTTGCCCCAAGGGCACAAACCTGGCTGGAGCAATTAACTATTAGTTTTAGCCTCTACTTCTCTTTTTAATGCATCTTCACCTATTTTATTCCTCTTCCCTCTGTCTTGGGGATGCTTTGTATTGCAGCCTAGGCAGATTTCAGCGTGTGCCATTAGGAGCAATCCTCTGCATTCAGGGGCAGAGGATGATATAGCAACTATTTTTTTCAGCCCAGGAAATACAGAAGCAGGCTTCAGTGTTGTTTGTTTTTTGTTGTCAGTTGGAGCAGAAACGTTGAGGGAGCAAGTAACACTTTATATAGCTGCTTGTGCAGCAATGCTACACAGAAAATGGGCTTTTTCTTCCTGCCCCACTGAACCGAAGACCCAGCCTAAGGCCCTCTAGTTCAATTTGGGAAATACTGTCAGTCTGGCTTCTGGAAAGCACAGAAAAGCTGCTTGTCCTCCTTTAAGCGTCAGGGAGCACAAATGCCGAATTTTAAATTTTCCTCACCTGAACCATCTGGGTCTGCAGAATTTTACTGAGATCCCCTGTAATATTGCTTCTTCATGGCAGATTACATAGAGCATGTGCAGGAAGTAAAGCACGTTTATGCAGAAAAATCAGCAATCTTTTACCGTGCTCTCTGTAAACACCTATGTGATTTTGGCCTTTATATCAAGAACCTAATTCACTTACCAAAGTTCACCTTTGCTGATGGCATCTGCTTCAATAGCCGAGCTCAATTGCTTTCTGGTCTAAATGACGTTTTAAATGCCAGGCTGGCTGAGTACTGCAGCAGATGGTGTCTTCAACCAAGTGCAACGGAAGCAATGACAAGAATATTCCCCTTACAATAAAGGTGTCTTTAAAAGAGGCAACTTCCTAACGTGTGATTTACATCTCATTAAGACAACTGCCTCTTCCATGACCAGCAGAGTGCTGAAGCTTGCTTTGATACCAGTTTGTGTCTTTATCAGCACCTTTCCAGGTCCTCACTTGTAGCCAGCTCCAGGCTATAGCTGTGTCACCTGTGCGCCTCTCTCAATGGGGCCCTGCTCTCCCCAGCATGGCTGCCTGGGGCTGTGGCCTGCGGCCAAATACAGCTGAAACTGGGCATCGGGTCCAAAAGGCGTTAGGATGGAGAACAGCTGAAAAGGGGGCTTTAGGACACCAGATTAAAATTACTTTAAGCTCATGGTGAAGACGACTCAGTCCTGGGGGGTGTATTCTGAAGTGCACAACCTTGTGCACAATGGCTGCATGCATCTTGGGTGCACTGCGTTCAGCCTCGTGGCCAAGCTGGCTTGTGCTACTCCCAGGACATGCTGCCCAGGCCCCTCATGCCAGGGAGGCCTCTCTTAACTGATAGGTAGTTTTGTGTCAAGACCCTGCTAGTCCAAGCTGGGAAGCCAGCACAGCAGCGTTACAGTAAGCGTGGTCTTCATCAATGCGCGCTTCTCGCTAAGCCTCCGAATTTTGATCTTGAGAACCAAAACTTGCCCTGGCTGAACAGGTTTGGGGTGGGTGGAGCTTGCCTTGCAGACAAATCATCGGTGCTGTAGGTGAATACAAATGACAAGTAAATGTTCTTTGGAGCCTTGATGTTAGCGTTGATGTTGAAAGCAGCTAATGAACCTGCTGTTGCTCTCTGGCAAAGTATTACTTCACCAAGTGAGATGGATGGGGGGAGAGGCAGCAAAAGCACCACACTGAAGAGCTTGCAACAGAGCTAAAATCTCCTTACCCTTTCTAGCTCCAGTGAGAGGAGGAATTGCTGAAGGGCAAGGACATCAGGGGGCGTTTGAGACAGCAGCAAGGCGAGGGGAGGAGGCCAAGTCTTCTCCTGCCCAGCCTCTGCCATACAGCTGACTGCTATGGGCTTTTCCCACTAGCCACCTTGAGGGCATGCCAAGAATATTAAGGAGTCACCACCCAGCATTTCCACCTCCTATAATCTCCCGTCTTCAACTTCTGAGATGTTTTTGGCTAAAGTTGATGCTGAGAAGCAGTCTTGAATGAGAATTATGGGAATGATTACTTTTCATAGAGGTGTAAGTCATCTACCCGGAAGCTGGTATGTATTTTCCACAGTGTTGATGCATCAGAGTCAAACCTTTAGGTTACTAACACTGTGGGGCTTGCTAGTCTGCTGGCCACGAAGAGGGAGAGATGGACGAGATCCGTGCTGTGCCAGGAGGTTAAAACAAATGCATGTCTAAAGGTATGGTGCTCCCTTCAGCTAGTGTTTGCCCAGGGTGTACAAAAGCTGGTATTTCAAGGCGAGGAAGAGAAGCAGCGGCCTTCAAACAGTGCTTCAGGTGGCTCCTGCAAATCCCACAGCAAATACTGCACCGGGCTGGGGGAAGCCTATCTCTGTGGATGAGATGGGAGCAACTAGTGGCAGCAGGAAATATCCGGCAGGGATTTTCCCCGGGAGAGCTGCTGAGCTCAAAATACCCTCCTCCAGCTCCGAAAGGGGAGCGGGGCCTCACAGCCGGCTCGATAGCAGCTCCCACTCGCAACCAAATCCCCACGCGGCGTCCACAGAGGGGAGCACGCTGCTGCGCCTGCCGTTTCCGGGGGCCGTTCCCAGCCACCAGCAGGAGCACGACGGCCGGAGATCGCTTTGCCCGCGCAGGACTGGCAGCCCGGAGCCACTTTCCCTGGCTAAAAACACACGCACATAAAACAGGTCTGGCCGTTTCCTTGACTTACGTTTTGAGTCACTTAAACCCGCGTGATGTCATTTCTCAGAGAGACGAGTTTTGTGGTGCTCAGGAACACTGCTTAGCTTCCTTCACGTACGGCCAACGCAAAGGGCACAATGAAAGCACGATTTTGGAAAAAAAGGACAGCAGTATTTTTAAAATTTAGCTATGAAATAACCACCTTTAAGGTGGCTTATTTACCCCCCCCCCAAAAAAAAGCCTACATTTATTACTTCCTATATGAATTTTAATTAAGGTTCTGGTTCAGGGCTTTCCTTTTTCCTATCAAATACCAACAGATTAAAAAAAACAGAACGTGAATACATGTATATTAAACAATATGTGTATATACAAATGTGTATAGATGTACTTTATTAGGAAAAAGAAATACCAAGTTTAGCTGTAAATTTGTATTACAAATTGTCCAACAAATAGTGCTCAGCTTTCTTCATCAAATTATGAAGATATGTAAAACAAGTCAAAAACTGATATTTAAATCAAAGTTTCTTGGTGGCTGATTAAGACCATGAATCACTTGGTTTAGATCAGTTTATCCTGCACTACTGACCTGATAAGGCAGAAAAGATTGAATTTGATGTTGCAACTGAAAATTGTCTTTTGTTGGCGTTAGAGAGAAAATAAGAGTTACCTTAAGCACCGGCCAACTCTTTTGGTGGATGTTTAGAGCAGGAGCAATGATTAAAGGAGAGCTT